GTACTAGGGCTACAAAATCTGAAGGCAAGGCTTGGGGAAACTGCTCTTTAACCAGGATGTCCCTTAACTGAGCACAAGTAACAGCCTCTGCAGCCTCTACCCATGCATCCGGCAGCTTACAGTCGGCTCATGAGAGCCTCATAAGACTCTTTAGGCTTAGGGCTTGCCTTTCTGAACTGAAGCCATAGCTGATCTTCACCCAAGCCAAATCTCTGTCTAGCCAGCCCTTCAAAGTTTCTCTAGTCTCTCATCCCAGCTGGCAATTCTCCCAAGAGATCACTTAACTCACCATGTACATGAGCACTCAGGATACTCCAAAATCCTCACCAGAAATTTTGAAGAGGTTAAAGTACAGCGCAGAGTCCTCCTGTCTACTCTGGAGAGAAGGAAGCTTTCATGTCTTCCCGGTCATCTTAAAAGTCATGAAGCAATAAATCCATCTGCCAGGTCTGCAGGTTCATGAAGACGGTAAACATGCCTTGCAGATCCCTGGGTTGACAGTAGTCCAGCTGCACTGTCATTCCCACCGCCAAGAACTCCAACTCCGGTATGCTGCACAGGAATATCAACTCCCACAGATGTCCACGTCTGCTTTTCCGCTTCCTCCTGGCCCCTCAGCAGTGGAGCCCTGGGCTGATCTGAATCGGCTCCCATTCCATGCTCCTTACTGTCTCCCCGCTGCCCCCTGAGCACCACAGACTCAGCCTCCAGATAAAGGTCTCCATCCACGACCTGCCAAGTAAACTTGTGGACCAAAGCCTTCGTCTTCCGTGCCCCATTGCCCCTCATGGCATCGATTTGCACCTCTGAATCCTGGCCAAGGGTGATATCAATCTCACGGCCAATAGGGAAAGTTTCAGGTAGCTCTGCTGCTGTCATCTTAACCTGTTTCTCCATTCTGAGTCTCCAAAATAACAACCACATGACTTAACCTAGAGTGTGCATTTCCAAACCGGTTTACTTGAGTAAGTTCCCTTTAAACTGCCACCATGTCAGGGACCTGAGCCCAGGTCCCACCGGGGTTATTGCTTTTGGTCCCGTGTGGAACCCCCAAACAACTTCCCAGACCTGTGGGTCCTCAAGGTTGGATGCACACAAGAAAACCAGACTTTGGAAAAAAGTATGAAGGTTTATTATTAAAATAAACGACTATGCAGTACAAGCTCTGAAGCCTAGCAACAAGAAAACAAATAACATTTATATCTATTACCTTGCATACCTTGGCATTAGATGGCATACCTCTTGCAGCATAAAATCCATGCAGTAGCATAAAGACATTCACGATGAAGCATAACATAGCTAAGCACAGTAACATGGCATTAGCATGTTAGTGTGGCTCTGTGGCCTATAGTTTCTTTCCCTCTGGTGTCAGGGGGTCTCTCAGGTCCAATCAAAACTCTTCTTCAGTGAACTCAGATACCCAGACGGTCTAATGGCAGAAAATGAAGAGGACCTAAAGAGCCTCTTGCTTAGAGTGAAAGAGGAGTGCAAAAGTTTGCTTGAAACTCAGTATCAAAAATCATGGCATCCGGCCCCATCACTCCTTGGCAAATAGAAAGGGGAAGTCATGGAAGCAGTGACAGACTTCACGCTCCAGGGATCCAAGATCACTGCAGACAGTGACGGCAGCCGTGAAATTAAAAGTCACCTGCTCCTTGGGAGGAAAGCGATGGCAAATTAGACAGCATAATAAAAAGTAGAGACATCACCCTGCCAACAAAAGTCCACATGGTCAAAGCAGTAGTAATGTATGGCTGCAAGAGTTGGACCATAAGGAAGGCTGAGCACCAAAGAATAGATGGTTTCGAATTATGGTGCTGGAGAAGACTCTTGAGAGTCCCTTGGACTGCAAGGAGATCAAATCAGTCAAACTTAAAAGAAATCAACCCTGACTGTTCCCTGGAAGGCCAGATACTGAAGCAGAAGCTCAAATACTTTGGCCACCAAATGAGAAGGGAGCACTCACTGGAGAAGACCCTGATGCTGGGAAAGATTGAAAGTCAAAGAAGAAGGGGATGGCAAAGGATGATATGGTTAGACAGTGTCATCGATGCAACGAACATGAAATTGAGCAGTGTCACTTATAATTTTTGCCCATATCCCAATTTGATGTCCAAGTGAATCCTTTTTAGGGACTTCAGGGACGTAGGATTTTTAAAAAGGGACTTTGGGGTGGATTCTTCCCTGTATAAATCTTTTTCTTTTAATTTTACAAACAGAAAGAATACAATACTCTACTACAGTTATACATATAACATAGACAATATTTCATAAAAATAGACATAAGTATAGACATGAACATGACAATCATCTGTAGTCATCTACTTCATCTACCTTATCTAATTCCTACATAAAGTACACTACTACAGTAATCTATTACAATTGTCAATCAGAGCTTACTTGGTTGCATAAGACCTATTTGTATATACTCTAAATCTTCACTTCAGTTTTATTTTTTTCTGTCTTTTCTTCATTGCTCCATGGAATGATCCCATGTTTTGGTGTGTGTGTGTCTTTAAATGTTGCGTTTGACTGCAGTACTGTAAGAGTGATACAGGGAGACAAGTGTGATTTGATTGGCTGATGACTGAGTGTGGGAGGAGATGTTCTGAGAGGAATCTGTGTGTGTGTTTTATGACAGAGTTCGGTGTATCCGTCTTTGGAAAGTGAAGTGTAGAAGAGCTATGAAGAGAGTCTGTGTGACTCTAAAAGTTTTGTGAGAGAGTCTGTATGGCAAAGAAACAAATAATGTATAAACTGTGTGGTTAGACAAATGCTTTATCTTGTGTGCCTAAGAGAAACAGCTGAGCCTGCGTGGCTACATATATGAGAGAGAGAGAAGCCTGTCAGAGTGGAATTTTGGTGTCTGAGAGACTGTGTGTGACACCAAGCTTTGCCAGTTATATTAACAAGTTCCTTTCTTCAGCAACTGTTCAAAACAACCAGAAATCCATTTTTGCTTTAACTTATCCCAGAAATTAGTACAGTACATCCTCAGGGCCACATAGTCCTCTGAAGTGCCCAGACCCTAGGTCATACTACCAAAAGAGAGAGAATTGGGATTTTTAATTCCTGGTGGCAGCAGAAAACTACCAAGTTTATATACAGAGAGTATGATTTAAAGGAAAAACAGTCTCCTCAAATAGTAAGGACGCCACACTCCATATCTAGCAATTCACTATTATCAACATATACTGCGTGACTTAATCTCTTAATCATTCTCTGTTTTAACAATTTAGTCCTAGTTTTCTGCTATATAGTTAAAAAGTAGATTCCATTGTTCTTGACATTCTGAATTCGGTCTATCATGTAAATAAGATGTTAATTTTGCCACTGTTGCAGTCAGTTCTGGACACTTTCCCACCTTCCATTTGGTCACAAATGTCACCTTGCCACTGTTACCATATCTTTAAATAGTTCACTGTGTATTCTTGTACTATTACTTATTAAAATATTTAATAGCATGTTTTTGGGTACATCGCAAACATAAGTTTTAATACCTTTTGTATCTCTTCATGGATCTTTATCCAATATTGTCTTGCTTTCTTACGTGTCCGCCACATGATAAAATGTTGCATCTGTGCTCTGACATTTCCAACAATGCCCATTATAACTCCTATTCGTTTTTGCAATTTCTTTGGGAGTAATGTAGCATCTAATATAGCATCTTCTCCCTTCGTAGCTAGAACGGGGTGCATGGGGCGATGCCCCCACTCAAATTCCAAAGCCTCAACAAATCCTCTTTGACACTTAAAATGTTCCTGCTTGTACCGCATCGTTTCCACCTCCTTATCATAAGCCAACTGCAGCAGAGTAGTTTCTCCTCCTTTTTCTTCCTTCCTATGCTTGCTTCATGTTTTTTCTCTGCTGTGCCACCTCTTTGCTGCAGCCGCTCCACCTCCTCAGGTAAGCCTCCTTGTCTAAGCTCCTTGATTGCTTCCTGCTTGACTGCTTCCTGGTTCCCATGGTCCAGTCAGCAGCAGGCTTTCTCCTCCTTGCATTCCTGTTTCCCATCCTGTTTCCCTGCTCTGAATAATCCAGCTTGGTTTCTTCCTTCCCAGTGTGCTGGTGAGTTTTGGGACTCCCTGCCTTCTCCCAGCCTCCCCAGACGGCATGGCCCTGGAGGACAGCTCCAGATCCCCCAAGGAACCCGCAACAGCCTGCCTGCCTGCCAACCCGCCAAAGCCAAGGATCCTGCCCAGCTCCTCCTTCACAGCCCGTTGTTGTTGTTCAGTCGCAGTCGAGTCCGACTCTTCGGGACCCCATGGACCAGCTCCCGCCAGGCCCTCCTGTCTTCCGCCGTCCTCTGAAGTTGGCTCAATTTCATGTTCGTTGCATCTATGACACTGTCTAACCATCTCATCCTTTGCCGTCCCCGTCTTCTTTGACCTTCAATCTTTCCCAGCATCAGGGTCTTCTCCAGTGAGTGCTCCCTTCTCATTGGGTGGCCAAAGTATTTGAGCTTCAGTTTCATTATCTGGCCTTCCAGGGAACAGTCAGGGTTGATTACTTTTAGGATTGATACCATTGCTTGGACCATGCGTATTTTTGTTGGCAGGGTGATGTCTCTACTTTTTATCATGCTGTTTAGGTTCACCATCGCTTTCCTCCCAAGGAGCAGGCGTCTTTTAATTTCATGGCTGCTGTCACAGTCTGCGGTGATCTGGGATCCCAGGAACCTAAAGTCTGTCACTACTTCCACGACTTCCCCTTCTATTTGCCAAGGAGTGATGGGGCCAGATGCCATGATCTTGGTTTTTTTGACTTCACTTTCTGCCATTAGAGTGGTATCGTCTGCATATCTGAGGTTATTGATCTTTTCCCCAGCAATCTTAACTCCAGCTTGTGATTCATCCAGGCCAGCATTTCGCATGATGTACTCTGCATATATATTAAATAAGCAAGGGGACAATATACATCCTTGTCGTACTCCTTTTCCTATGCTAAACCAATCAGTTGTTCCATATCCGGTTCTAACTGTTGCTTCTTGGCCCTTATACAGGTTTCTCAAGAGACATGTGAGGTGGTCTGGTACTCCCATCTCTTTAAGGACCTGCCATAGTTTGTTGTGATCCACACAGTCAAAGGCTTTAGCATGGTCAATGAAGCAGAAGTAGATGTTTTTCTGGTACTCTCTTGCTTTCTCCATAATCCAGTGAATGTTGGCAATTTGATCTCTAGTTCCTCTACCTCTTTGAAACCCAGCTTGTACTTCTGGCAGTTCTCTATCCACGTACTGTTGAAGCCTAGCTTGTAAAATCTTGAGCATGACCTTGCTAGCGTGTGAAATGACAGCCAGACCTCCCTCTAATTGCCTCAGATGCAAAGATCAGTGGGGTTCGCCGGGTAGGGAAGTTGGCGAGTTTCTTGTGTGTCACAGACACCAAGACAAGGCGCAAGAGGGGATTACACAGCCCAGAGTGGGAAAAGGAACCCAACCTTGGCCTTCTGCAATGCAAGGACACGGGTCAGGAATGGCAACAGAGGAGAAAGGGAGGGGGTGCGAAAGCCGCCAAGCCCACTGGAAATTAATAGACTGAAACACTTGTTTCCTCCAATCTTTTTTCTCCCGCACCCCTCCTCCTTCTGGTGTCCCCGACCGTCAATGCAGTGCCCCCAATGTAAATCATCTAGCTATGGGGCTGCTTCTCCCGTGTGACCATTTTTATGTCTAGTTAGACCACCACTCCAAGAGAAGCACTTTCCACACACCAAGCATTTATAAGGCTTCTTCCCTATATGAATCCTCTGATGTGTAGTTAGACGGTTATTCTGAAAAAAGCACTTTCCACACTCCAAGCATTTATATGGCTTCTCTCCGAGTCCTGTGTGGATCTTCTGATGTTGACTTAGATTGCCACTCTGAGAGAAACACTTTCCACACTCCAAACATTTATACGGCTTTTCTCCTGTATGCATCTTTTGGTGTGCACTTAGGTTTCCACTCTATGTTCTCCTCTGTGTGAATCTTTAGGCTGTTGTTCACAGAGAAGCACTTTCCACACTCCAAGCATTTATACGGCTTCTCTCCGGTATGAATCCTTTGATGTGCAGTTAGGCTCCAGTTCCGAGAGAAGCACTTTCCACACTCCAACCATTTATGTGGCTTCTCCCCCATGTGAGCCTTTTTATGTTTATTTAGATCACAGTACCAAGTGAAGCACTTTCTGCACTCTAAGCATGTATATAGCTTATCCCCTGTATGAACCTTTTGATGTCTACTTAGATGGGTACTCTGAGAGAAGCACTTTCCACACTTCAAGGAAGAGAGAAGCAAAAGAACTAGTTGCCTGTGAGGGCAGAAATAAGCCTGAGGTCTCAGCCCAAGATGAACCAGGGAGGAGAAGGAGACGGCCTAATGGTGCCTTGAGTCAGAAAGGGTGCAGCTGCAAATTCATTAACAAAACATATGAGAATGTTACAAAATGCTGGACCTCTGTACTGGACCTCTCTCAGACTCCTGGCCACAGTCCCTCAGTGGAACCCCGGCCTGGCACATACTAGCTTCTGCCCCTTGCCGTCTACAAACTGAACACTGGCCTCGAGAATGACTGGAGGCTGAAGAGTTTTGACCATAAATCTTCCGAGCACTCCTATCGCTTCACCTTCTGACCTGCTGGAGGAGTTCATGGGTCACTCGGACTCATGTTCCCTTGCTGTGGCTCCCGGACGCAGCTCTTTTTCAGCCACGGAGGCTCGCTAGAATCTTTCTTTTCCAGGCACGTCCACCTGCCTGTATGCCTGATTCTCGATCCATGGTAGAAGAGGAGGAGATTGGATTTATACCCTGCCCTTCACTACCCAAGGGAGTCTCAGAGCTGCTTACAAACTCCTTTCCCTTCCCCTCCCCACAACAGACACCCTGTGAGGTAGGTGGGGCTGAGAGAGCTCTGACAGAAACTGCTCTTTTTCAAGGACAGCTCTGACAGAACTATGGCTTGCCCAAGGTCATCCAGCAGGCGCAAGTGGAGGAGAGGGGAATCAAACCTGGTTCTCCCAGATTAGAGTCCGCAGACTTAACCACTACACCAAACTGGCTCTCCATCTCTGCAGCACTGCTCGAGGCACCCGATAACTCTGTTGCCGCCATCCAGCCTGACTTCTCCATCTTGACTCCTGTCCAGGGCAGCTAGCATAGAACAGGGCAGAGCTACGGTCAAGCCTGACCCTGCCTCAGTGCAGAAACACAACTAAGCTGCACTAAGTTCCCAAGTAACACACACAATAAAGAAAAAAGAAGACTTCACTGAAGAAATTCAGCAAAAGGTATGAAAGGGCATATTAATCAGTGACAGTAAAATGGACAAAAACAACAGAGATAAAAGTATGGGAGTCCTAACACAGTGCAGCAGGTTCTTGAAGCAAAGAGTCCTGGAGCAAAATACAAGGGTCTTCTTGGCAGCAACAAGGCATGGGGAGAAATAGTAAAGGAAAAGGGTAACTCTTCTTCTCACTAACCTTACTTACTGAAAACTGCAGGCCACAACCTCGTGAGCTCCTCCGCCAATCCTTGGGTGGCATTCATGGAACTTCCCAGGGGGAAGGCAAGTTCCCCCTCCCCTACCAGATTCACAGCTGAGCTATGTCAGCTAATGAGAAGGCCTGACTGGATGTCCTTGATGAGCATCCACCACGGCGTGGCCAACACTTGCAGAAAGATACCAGCTCAGAAGAGGACACAGATATAACTACTGAGAAGTCAGAGAAACCCCTTTCTCGACAAATCAAAACTCTCGCAAAAGAGCTGAAACAAGAGAACAGAGATTTACTGACTCAGTTGCATCAAGATATATTCAGGTGGGGCAGCCCTGTTTGTCTGAAGCAGCAGAACGAAGTGTGAGTCCAGTGGCACCTTTAAGACCAACAAAGTTTTATTCATGGTGTAAGCTTTCGTGTGCAAGGCACACATGGTTAAATATCTGACAAAGTGTGCTTGCACATGAAAGCTTATATCGTGAATAAAACTTTATCGGCCTTAAAGGTGCCACTGGACTCAAACGCTATTTCTGCTGCCATCTTTCTCAATTTTGCTATCTTTCTCCTGCGCTGAAATACTTTATACAGCCTTTCCATATGTGCACATAATCAAAACCATACACTCTTAAAAATATAAATATGTAACTGTACAGATTGGTGATTTTTAAAAACTATCTTAGACTTAATTTTTTATAAGCAATCACTACAAATGATTATTAACAGGGCTATTTTTGGGCAGGAACGCACAGGAACGGCGTTCCGGCTGGCTCCCAAGTTGGCCACGCCCAGCAGGAACTCATTAGCATAATAGGCCACACCCAACAGCAGAAACTCATTAGGATTGGCTACATTAGGGGTTTGTGGCCTAACATGCAAAGGAGTTCCTGCTACAAAAAAGCTCTGGGTTTTGACAACAAACAAGGCAAACAGAATAACAAGCAAAAGGTGGGTGTGGCAGGATAACCACACCTCTGGCAACATGGGGGTGCGGCCTAACATGCTAATGAGCTGTGCTGTCAGGGGTGTGGCCCAATATGCTCATGAGTTCCTGCTGTTGGGTGTGGCCTATTATGCTAATGAGTTCCTGCTGGACTTTTTCTACAAAAAGAGCCCTGAAATATTTACCACAAATGAAAAAACTCACATTCAGTATTACTATGTCTTATTATTATACCATCAAGTTCCCAAGATATGTCTACTTAGAAAGTTACGTATATAACAAGAAGAGACAAAAGCAAATATCTTACATATCATGGTCCATAGAAAAGATTTTCAGAATATATTAACCAGAAAAGGCTATAGGTGACAGCAAAGCATTACTTTTGACAGTCATTTAGCTTCCTTAGAGGTGTTTTCTCTGCATATCTGGAAATGTACAATGCAGACAAAACTTTTGTGCTAGATTTATTCTTAGTCACTATAGTGGTAGAAGAAAAACAATTCCAAGGAAATCTTTAAATCTTATTTAGTCAGTTGTTTGTAGTTAGTTTTGGGTTCTTCATAGATTAGCACATGTTTGTATTCCAGCTCAGTCAAGTGCATTCTTTATTTTGTCATCCACAAACATATATTTGCAATCCAGTTTTAAATAATATAACGCTATTATAATCCAGTTTCAGGTAATAGTAATCATCCAATAGATTTATAATCCACTGAGATGTGTTGGATGAAAGGGGAAAAAGGAGAGGAAAAAAGGCTGGCTTCTTTTTATTTTGAAAAAATATAGCTTCCAATTCTCAAACAAAAGAAGAGCTAACAAAGGCCAGAACCAATTAGCAGTTTGGCAGTCTGCCTTGCTATTTTCTCTCTCTCTATTTTAAGTTCTTTTTCTCCAGAGTTGCTAATTAGCAATTAGTCATTGAGTGGGAAAAAAAATGGCTGCTTATCTGAGTCTATTTCGCAGTCTGAATAACATACAAATCAGCACATAATTCTTTATAGTGGAGAATACATGGTTACAAGTTCCAGAAGACTCAGATCATTATATTATGACCTTGCCAATCTGCTGGTAGCAAAAAACTTATATATCACAAGGACGTGTTCTTAAAAAACAGAAGAGAGACCAAGGAAGAGAGACAGGCGGCATTCACACTCCCCCCCCCCCCCCAATTATTTTTTTGCTGCCATTGGAAAGAGAGAATAAAAGTACACACAGTTGTTTATATCTAATGTTCTTTGTTAAAGTTTCAACCTGTGTAACTAGAGTTCTGTTGACAATATAAGACAATACAGATGATGGTTACAGGTAAACCTACGCAGCAGTTTGCTGGCCATTCTCGATAGCTGCCTTGATGGTTGGCCATGATAAAAGGAATAAGACAACTAATCAATCTGCCAATATACCCTCAGAGATCACTGGAGCGTTCTTTAACAGAAAGAAGTGGCTTTGGGCTATAAATTAGCCCCACCTGGAAGTTTCCTGCCCTTGATGTGAAAAGGCTCAAAGGAACATATTATGCTCCTCCATCCAGTTGCCATGTTGGGTGTGTGTGTGTGGGGGGTGTCAATGAATCTTTTGATGTTCAGTTAGGCTCTTGTTCACAGAGAAGCATTTCCCACACTCCGAACATGCACACAGCTTCTACCCTGTGTGAACTTTTGTATGTCTACTTAGAGAACTACTCCAAGAGAAGCACTTTCCACACACCAAGCATTTATATGGCTTCTCTCCTGTGTGAATCTTCTGATGTGCAGTTCGGCTGCTATCGTAACAGAAGCACTTTCCACACTCTAAGCATTTATATGGCTTCTCTCCTGTGTGAATCTTCTGATGTGCAGTTCGGCTGCTATCGTAACAGAAGCACTTTCCACACTCTAAGCATTTATACAGCTTTTCCCCTGTATGAATCTTCTGATGTGCAGCTCGGCTGCTATCGTAATAGAAGCCCCTTCCACACTCTAAGCATTTATATGGCTTCTCACCTGTGTGAGTCTTTTGATGTACAATTAGGCGCTTATTCTGAAAAAAGCACTTTCCACACTCAAAGCATTTATATGGCTTCTCTCCAGTGTGAATCTTTTGATGTTCACGTAGGTTGCCACTCTGAGAGAAGCACTTTCCACACTCAAAGCATTTATATGGCTTCTCCCCTGTATGAATCTTTTGATGTGACATTAGTTTGGTATTACAAGAGAAGTACTTTCCACACTCAAAGCATTTATATGGCTTCTCCCCTGTATGAATCCTTTGATGCACAATTAGGCTGCCATTCGAAGAGACACACTTTCCACACTCCAAGCATTTATATGGCTTCTCCCCTGTGTGAACCTTTTTATGTTTTATTAGGCTGCTATTCACAGAGAAGCACTTTTCACACTCCAAGCATTTATATGGCTTCTCTCCTGTATGAACCTTTTGATGCCTAGTTAGGTGGCTACTATGAGAGAAGCACTTTTCACACTCCAAGCATTTATATGGCTTCACTCCTGTATGAACTTTTTGATGTGCAGTTAAATTGCCCTTATAAGAGAAGCACTTTCCACACTCCAAGCATGTATGTAGCTTCTCCCCTGCATGAATCTTTTGGTGTGCAGTTAGGCTGCCATTCTGAGAGAAGCACTTTCCACACTCCAAGCATGAATATGGCAACTCCCCTGTATGGATTCTTTGATGTGCAGTTAGGGTGCGATTCTGAGAGAAGCACTTTCCACACTCCAAGCATGTATTTAGCTTCTCCCCTGCATGAATCTTTTGGTGTGCAGTTAGGCTGCCATTCTGAGAGAAGCACTTTCCACACTCCAAGCATTTATATGGCTTCTCCCCTGTGTGAACCTTTTGATGTTTAATAAGGTCACTATACCAGGTGAAGCACTTTCCGCACTCCAAGCATTTATATGGCTTCTCCCCTGTGTGAATCTTTTGATGTGCAATTAGGATGCCATTCTGAGAGAAGCACTTTCCACACTCCAAGCATTTATATGGCTTCTCCCCTGTGTGAATCTTTTGATGTGCAATTAGGATGCCATTCTGAGAGAAGCACTTTCCACACTCCAAACATTTATATGGCTTCTCCCCTGTGTGAACCCTTTGATGCGTAGTTAGTCCACTACTCCAATGGAAGCTCTTCCCACATTCCAAGCATTTATACTTTTTCCAGCATGTTGTAGCATTCTTAAATGCTTTAACGTTCAATTTGCAGCGGAACCCTTTGTCATTCACGGCACCATTAGACACCTTCTTTCTCCTCCCTGGTTCATCTTGGGCTGAGGCCTCAGGTTTAGTTTTGCCTTCACAAGAAACCAAATCCTTCCTTTGCTTCTTTTTTGCTTCCCTTTTCCTTCTGAACTGTCCCGCAGTTACCACTTGATCCCCAGACTGTGCTTCCACCTGGAGATTGTTGTCTTTTTCCACAAGTCTTCTTTCTGATTCCTTTTCACTCACCATTTCCCTCACTTCTCCAACTGCAAAAGAGATACAGAAATCAAATAAGAATGAAAATGCACAAATACCAGATAACAAATTGAGCAGCGAATAGTACTTTTTATAATGAGATTTCGGGTCCTGAAATTTTTTTCAAAAATATTAACCAGACAACAGGATGTCTTGGGAAAAGAGAAACGGTGACTAAAGGAACAGGGAGGGGATTTCTTGCTTCTGTTGCAGACGGTTCCTCTTTGAGATCACATTTAGGTTAATATGTTAGAGAACATATTTAGAGAACATATAAAACTGAAATATATATAAAACTAAAATATAAAACTAAAAAAATGCTTTTAGAAAATCATGAATTTTATTGAAATATTGCTTGATAATGTGAAAGGAATAAAACATGGAAACACTTGAATCCAGAGATAGGAGAAATAGACAGTCAAGATAGATCTTTCTACAAACTTAAAAAATGACCCAGGCCTCCAGAAAAATCAGGGGGGAAAGGACAGTGTGGACTTATAACACCACCAAATACTGGAAGCAGAGCCAGAAACATAAGAAATACAGTGACCATTGGAGGGTCACCACACAGTATTGTCAGCCTTCAAGCTTTGTTTTCTGACAGAGACAGGAGATATTGGCCTTTAGAGGGTTGATTTGGCCATTGAAGGAAGCCTCCCCTGGGCCGGGCTCAACAGCAATCAGAGCCAGGACACTTGATGTCACACCAGTTGCCTGACTGAGTGCATGATCACTTGCATGGTCAGGAATCCTGGCGTATTTTTGCCATCTTCTGGGCATGGAGCAGGGGTCACTGGAGGTATGGAGTGTTTGTGAATTTCCTGCATTGTGCAGGGGGTTGGACTAGATGACCCTGGAGGTCCCTTCCAACTTTATGATTCTATGACTCATCCAGGACTGGCTGCTTGCTACTGTCCAACACTACCACACTGCAAAAGCCAGCGTGCTCTAGTGGTTAGAGTTCCAGAATATATCCTGGGAGTCTGCAATTCAAATCTGCACTCTGCTCTGGGAGCAAACCGGGTGACGTTGGGCCAAACACACATGCTAACCTCCCTCAGAGGGTCTTTGTGAGGATAAAATGGAGGAGGACAGAGTTCTATAAGCTGCTTTGAACCATTATTGGGAAGAAAGGGGGAGTATAAAGCAAATAAATTATCAATAAAGCTGAACTTGGGGGGAGCAGTTAAAAGATGGGTTGGTTACTAAAAAAGCAGTTAAAAGATGGGTTGGTGTTCGGAAAGGAAACATGAAAACTGGGCCATGCAGGGGCTGGCAAATAAAGGCAAATAGTGCAGGGATGGGGATACAGGGGTAAATAAAGGCCCTCTGCTATGCAACTGTGACCAGCCCAGCTAGCCCCTTGCAACTGGACACACCCTAGTGGCTGGGCTGGCACAACATAACTGGGCCACATTTTCCCCAGGTGGAGGTTGTTGGGGAAGGGAAGGAGGGAAAGGTGAAGATGGAGGGGTGGGGGATAAAGTTAGATTGGATGGTGGGTGGGAATGAGGGAAGGAGACGGAGAAACATGAGGATATGGGGGTTGCCAGGAAAAATGGGTTAGGTGCCCCTCAGAACCTGTACCAAACATGGAAGGAATTGGAACATGCTGGAACATGGAAGCGCCAGACTCCCCTGCCATGTGCTTTTTGCCTTCTAAGGTAAGGTTGATAGTGAAAGGCATAATCAATGAAAAATACAGCTGGGCACCTCAGTATTGGCCACTAACTTCAGGATGATGGTGGGACTTGCAGTGCCACAAATGAAAGCAACTGAACCATTCTGGCTCAAATTAGCCGCTCTATGACCTCTCTCTGCTACTTGCAATGGAAGCAGAAGTGTACTCCTGAGAAGACAGGAAAGGGCCACAGCACAGACAGGGAGGGTGGAAAATATCTCCCATCTACAAAACAAATGGGATTTCGCAAGTTCCCTGGGCTGTCAGATATGGTGCAGTGTCATGGTTAGAGTGTCTGAGCAGGATCTAAGAGACATGGCTTCAAAGACATAGGGCACTTCCCACGGATGCTTCCTGTTCAGAGGCAGTAAAACCCATAATATACCACAGTGTCACGAGGCAGCATCAGGGAAAGGGCTTGGCCTCCATGCCCTCTTTTCTTCAACTCTCCAGGGCAGCTGGTTGGCCACTCTATGAAACAGGATGCTGGACTAGATGCACTGATCCAGCAGGCTGCTTCTTCTGTTCTTAGGGAAAAGGCAGATGGCAGGGTGTGGGAATGGGTTTTTACACTGCTTGGTAGGCAGAAACTCCATTTTGCTTTCCCAGGGGAAGAAAGGTGGAAGAGCTTCTGTTGGGGGTGGCAAAGGAGGCCTCAGTTCACCTCCTTGATCTTCCAAACTCCCAGAGAGATAGTCCACGAACTGCAGAATAGGGAGAAGAGATTCCCCCCCCCCTCCATTTGTCTCACCTTCATTCATTTTCTGAGATTATCTCAGGATAAAGATAATGTGATAAAGAAGATGTGGGCGTGGTCCGTGCCTGGCTCGGCTCCCACTGGGACCTGCTCTGAACTGGCTACGAAAGAGCAGAACATTAGGAGGGAAAGCACTCCCAAATCCCCACTCGTCACCTGGAAGGCAGCTGCAGTGCCTCTTGCCTGGCTTCTCTTCCCCCGCCTACCACTTTTCTCACAGTTGACTCTCACGTTCTCCTCCACCAAGATTGTGCCCAGAACTTTCCATCGAGCTGATTCCACTCCAAGGGGTGGTGACTTGGGGGGGGGCCTCAGGCAGGGGCCTTTCCCACCCCTAAAACTGAAGATTCTCCTCGCTAAATCCCTTTGGGTCAAGGGCTGTGGACTGAACCACGGACTTTCACGACACAGGTCATTAACTCCGCCACTGAGCAAGGGACTCCCTTCTGGTCCAGTCAAATCAATGATACCTTTCCTCCTCTCCTCCTCACTCACTCAAACAAAAGACACTGTGACCAATTGGAAAGGCCAAAGAAGAAAAGATGAGCTGCAGGGATTTCCTAGCAGGAACCTAACTGGATATCGTCCCTCTCTCCCGATCAGAGCCCTCTTCATCAACAGGTTCCTCTTTACAGCATGGAAGGACTTTATGCCTTCTTTCTCAGGGGCTTTGAGGTCCCCAAGTGTGGGAGCTCCGTTCTTTCCTCTGCGGCAAATCAAAGTGTGTGTCAAAGGAAGGCGTCACCTTCTCTTCCATGATCATTAGAGAAGGGAACAGATTCTTACCCAAAGAGGCCACTGTCTCGCAGTTTTGCTCCGTAACATCCCAGTAGAGTTTTCTTTGGCCTGCATCCAGGAGAGCCCATTCCTCCGCCGTGAAGGACACGGCTACCTCCTCAAAGGACACCGGGGGTCTCTGAAAGGGGAAAATATGGCCCAGTGGATCATTTATTCTTATCCCCAACTATTCAAGAAAGAAAGCAGACTCCCATGGGCCAGTCGACTGATTATATCATGCCATAGGTCAAACTGATGACAAGGAAAATTGCATTAGTTTCTTTTTCAGCCTCTGACAGGTATAATATACTAAAATTCTCCAAAAAACTATAATCTCAAATGATTGCAAAGAACTGGGCTTCTCTTGGTCGAGACCAATTAAATGGGAGGGGGGAATAAAGTGTATAGCTGACATTAAATTATCTTGCATGTTAAACCCCAGAAACACACAGAAACTGTGCTTTGAGAGAAGGTTTCTGCTTTAAACATTTTTGTTTGCAGAGGTGTTCTGTGTTACTGGAAAGCTTGCACCCAGCTCTGTAAACATGAACTGCCATAATTAAAATTGATGTGTCATTAGCTCTCTTTTTAAACTCACAAAGCAAAGGCCTATTCACCCCAGGCCATGTTAACCTGGGGGCCTGGCAGGGCTCTTTTAGTAGCAGGTACTCATTTGCATATTAAGCGACACACCCCTAATGTAGCCAATCCTCCAAGAGCTTACAGTAGCTCCTGTAAGAAGAGCTCTGTAAGCTCTTGGAGGACTGGCTACATTAGGGGTGTGTGGCCTAATATGCAAAGGAGTTCCTGCTACAAAAAGAGCCCTGCAGTGGGGGGTGAGAGATTCAGGGCGTCACTCTCTAGAGCAGGGGTTCATCACCTTTCTTGAGCCAAGGACCTCTTTGGCAGTCCAGTGAAGCACATGGACCCCTCTCAGATAATGTTTTTAAAGGGGGGGGGGTAAATAATATTTCGGAGCTGCGGTGGCTCAAGTGGTTAAGACGCTGAACTGCAGGCTGTGGAAGGTCAGTAGTTCAGCAGTTCGAGACCCAGGGGTGCCGCATGATGGAGTGAGCTCCCATCTCTAGTTCCAGCTCCTGCCAACCTAGCAGTTCGAAAGCAAGAAATTGCAAGTAGATAAATAGGTACCACTTCGGTGAGAAGGTCACAGCGTTCCGTGCGCCTTGGTGTTTAGTCATGCCAGCCACATGACCACGGAAACGTCTTTGGACAGCGCCGGCTCTTCGGCTTTGAAATGGAGATGAGCACCGCAACCCTAGAGTCGGATTCGACTGGCTTTCGAGCAAGGGAACCTTTACCTTTACCTAAATAATGTTTCAAGATACCTGCAACAACTTAATAGTATATGAAAATATTGGCTTTCCACTGGTGACAAAGTCGCACGAAATACAATGACGACTGTGGTTTGTTGCCTACGTTCATCATGGAAGGAAAT